TTTAAGACACTAAAAAGTAAAAATCCATACCCTGTTCAAGACAAATCGGAAAAATAAGGAATAGCTATCTACGCCGCAACCATCAAAACTGCAAATATACTGAAATCCATCAAAGACAATAAGAAGTTTTTGATAACACGTTAATTCTGGGACAGTTAAACGGTATTTCTACTATTTCTACGATGTTATGAAAATATTACCCTGTCCAAGATACACAAAAAAATTATATCGGTCTCTTTTATCTAAACTTTAGAGCCTGTTTAAGACAATTTCGGGTGAAATGTATACCCTDTTHAAGACAGCAAGGCCAAAAACCATACCCTGGCCAGCGGCACGTCCCCGTATAGCAAATATATGGGACCGGGCCCAAACCCCATGTGATTTCCTAGCCCTTACAGTGAACTGACTGTATTGTATGTTAGATTAGATACCAATATTCTTAAAAATAAGTACTAAGAATACTTAGCATAAAACTACCATGTAATAGCTCTAGTGTGGGTAGGTATCATAAGCAATTAAKAATAGGGATGGCTTATGATGAAACAATCACAATTTTCTGCATACTAAGATATTTGAAGTTGCTATTTTAGTGCATACCCATAAATTTTGACTCTTGTGAGGTAAACAATGAGTGATAAGCCTGGGTAAGACCAAGAAAAGAATCTTGGCTCAAGWCGTTTTTGATATGTGACATTTTGGAAACCAGCTCTTTCTATATCCTTCCAAGTCTCCTTATCCATTCGGCAACCATCCAGCAACACAGGTAATCCAAGGAAAGCAGACAAAATCTCGAATGCCCTCCTCATAGTGTTAGGATCATCTGTGTAATGAAAACACTAATTATCATCTATATATGAAATAAAAATGCATGGTTTCTGAAATTATATCAGTCAACAATATTTTGAACTCTATTGATATAACATTATAATTTTTCTTAAACAACTAATACATATAATTAATGAGTTATTATTGTGCCAATAGAATGAGCCTATTTGGTCACTTGAATGGACCTCTATATCTGATAAAACACTCCTTATTTGTATTCTTTATAGAAAGAATACTAATAAAAATGACCTTAATCAGATATAAAGGTCCATGATCCTAGCAAAGGTCTCAGGTTTTTTTAAAAAATACCTCATCATTGACAATGCAGGATGTCAATCAATTGTTGTAAAACAGCCACCAGCGCTTCTATTTTACTTTATGCATATTCAATGTGGAAGACACGAGTGCTTTGTAAAGTGATAAATTTGTGCATAATCAGTTTGCCCCAATTATCTCAAAACTTATTTTTACAACCATTTCTCCAAKAATCTTAACAGATTTGAGTTTCAAATTAGTGTTGGAGTTTTAAACACTCGAGATTGTGTTATTTATCAGATATAAAGATTTTGGCCATCAAAAAGTGCAAGAATTGTAACCATCTGATCTCAGGTTTGACAATGATATTGATCTCAGTGACTACCGTATGCTCGTCCTGCCAAAGTCAAATCCTGGACTCTGATCCTTAAATAATGCTGATCCCTAATCACATATACCATAAGTAAAGACCMTGTCTAAGACCTCCTACATACCTATGACATGTTCCAAGAAGAAGTAATATCCACCCTACAAACAATTAAATGTATCAATACGATATGACTTTATATACAGAAAGGATAACACATGGATGTTGCAATTAAGATACAAATCTTATTTGTGAGTCAATTGAAATCTTTCAAGGGAGAAAAGCAAACTGGGCTAATTGTAAGCCAAATGCATGTTAATTTAAAGTACATAGAGGATATTACATGGGCGCATGGAAATACTAATTTTATCTTCGGGTGTTCAATTGATATCTCACATGTTAGCGTAGCGATCTATTATATAAATATTGAGATCTAATTGGTCRAAAAAATGYGTCAACATGACAACAGTGGTATYCTCACGTGTGAAAGATATGATATMTTTTCATGGTTCAAGATATTGCATTTTCACAACTAGAGAAAACCTGGTATCTCATYGATATGTATATAATAAAAATATGTATATTTATAAAAAGTTCTCAAGATTGTGCAACCTCAAGTGACAGAACTTTTCTTTACAATACTAAGATCCGAGAAATTAAAACTGAACTTGGATATTACATGCGGATRTGGATATCTTTAATGTGAGAGATATGATATATTCCCAGAAAAGAGCTAAATTGCTACTGTACAAGTGTGAAATTCMAAGGTCTCCCCTCCCTACCCCMCTRAAAACATGTTTTTGATATCAATTTATTGCAAATTCGATCTAGTAAAACTTACTGGTTTTAGCACTCGTTTAATTTCTTTTAAGACTTGATTTACTTTCTCGCCCTCTAAAGAGCACAATATCTGTGCACCAAGGACAGCAGCCACTGAATTGTCCTTGATGCTTTGCATGTTCGCAGCATCTTCAGCGATGAATTGTTTTAGAGGAATGTTGTTGTTTGGATATTTCTTTAAGTTTTCTCGCAAATAATGCTCCATCTCAGGGTTGTAGTCCAGTGCAATGTAGGATGATCCTTCAGGAAGATTCATATATGCCAGATTTCKTCCAGAAGCTACGCCAATCTCCAAAACATCGCCACCATCACTTTCAGAGAGMATCTCGTTTAGCTGAGTAATAAGTTTTTGTCGTGTGCTATTTTTTGGCCTGGGTACTGCTCCCCACTTATTAATCAAAGCTGCGAAATACTTTTTGTACATCTTGCTAGAAACAAGCCGTGGTAGAAATGTTCGTCTAAGGAGCAATAATACGAAAATTATGAAGAGAGCAACAAGTCCGACGTAGGTAGCCATGATTGTTTAGACTGAAGGGGAGGGGTTGGGGGGGTGGGAAAGGGCCGGGAGAGGGAGGGGAGTAAGCGAGCATCAGTGAGAAACAAATGTAACTGAAAACCTAATTTTCATTCAGTTCAGCTAGGAAAAAAACAAAA